CTGAGGCTTCAGTTTCCCACTGACAGTCTGGCAAGACCCATTGACAAGCACATCTACTGCATAAAGGTGTTATCATGTACTGAGCAAACAGACAAGAGGAACAGGCAGTGTGACAGCCTGCATACGGCTCTCAAACACAGCAACTATGTTTTGTAAAGCCTGATGTCATTGCTCTGTACTGCTATAGGGGGTTTGGACCAAGAATTTTTCCCTCTTCACCAAATTCCCTTCTACTGACCAATATCAGATTCAAGATCCAGCATCAGAAATCAATGCTGCAGGACCTCTATTATAATATCTAAATACTGATATAATATGAATCTTAAAAAACCATTCCATGGCTCACACAGGTTTTTTCTCTTTGCCAGAAATACTGACAAAGCCCAAGGCTTTACTGGAGGTTCAGTTACTGTTCTTGATGCATTCTTGTAGTGGCTGGTACAGCCTCTTTCTGCCTCGCTGCTGCAGAGTTGTCTATTCAACACTCAGTGTCACACACTATTAATATTGCATGGATCAATGGTGAAGGGAAGAAAAACTCAGCTTCTCTCTTTGTTGGTTCAGCAGAACCACTTTTAGTTCCCAGCATAAGTGGTGAGACTACTCTGAGACTACTTATGTATTTGTGGAATAATATGAATGGAATAAATGTAATAGACAGTGTTCAAGCTCATTTTCATCGTCTTTTCCCTGCAGGTTTTTTTTGTTCCATATGACTAATGACTAGAACCAGTTGTTCACCTTTTTCATCCACAGCTTCCATTTTATTTTTTATTCTCAGCCAATAATATTCAGGACAGGAAAAGGCATCTGGTTCAAATCCACAACAAAGTCCCTGTCAAACCATTTATTCTCCCTGGGCCTTTATCAAGTTATCACAGCCTGTAGCTGCACCAGTTTAAAGGCAAGATAAGTCATTCACTGGGAAGTAGCTTCCTACAAATGATTTATTGCACCAGTGCCATTTTTGAACAGAATGGCCCAGACTGCATTTATTTTGCCATGATTACAGGAAACATGTCAAAGTACTTGCATTTTTTAAAAGCTGAGAGCACCTGATGGAAAACTGCTCTAGATCTGACACCAAGGAATCAAGAATGCACCAAAAGAGAGAAATTTCAGTTCTGTAACAGTCCAGTATTTTAAGTGAAGAGATTGCTTGCGCACACACAGCAGCTGTGCTGAGATTTTTTGGGGTCTTGACCTGAGCCTATCTGCAGTTTGGAGCTAGAGAGATACAGACCAATTGCCTTTTTTTTTTTTTTTTTTTCCCCTGAAACTGCAGTTGTTTGGGAGAACGACTTATCAAACCTGAAATTTTGACAGTTATGTTGAATCTGCAACTTTTCATCCTTTGTCATTGAACTTATCCTACTAAGCAGCCTAAAGACAAACTTGAGTATTCTTCTTCATCTAGTGAACAAAGTCGAGATGTACGCAATTCCCTGGTGGTTCCAAACTTGCTAGTGGGTTTCATTAGATGTTTGTGATTTTCATTCTGGCCTGACATAGTTGTAGCAGTCTTTTCAGTTCAGTATTTGATTTTCCATGCTAGCTCTTAGCCAGTCTGCTCTCTTTACTTCTGAATTTTTGTATGTTCTATAACGTATATATGCATAATTACACAGACAGCATAATTATATTTTGCTTGATTATATGTGTCCCCTTCTTTTCTTAATCATCACAGACACCCGACTGTAATTCCCTGTTTCATTCAGGTCTGAGAGACACAGAGCAGTACTTAGAGGCACAAAGCTCTCAGCTTCCATCATTCTTGGCAGCAGCTGCCTCAACATCTGATGTGCAACTACAAGCAAAGCTCCTCACTGCTTGGTGTGTTCCTGCTCATTGCACCCCTGGCCTAATTGAGAGCTGCAAGTGCAAACTAGTGAAATGATCTGTCATCAGTTTATCCAGAAAAATCTCCTGCAGGCATGGGTTTGATAAGAATACAAGGTTTCATCAGTCCAGACACAGCTTCAGTGTTCTTTTTATTTCTCTTTCTTAGCCACAACATATCCAGTTGAGATTTATGGCTAGAGCTTCAAATGTGAGATTTCTGGACAAATATAATTCTCATTTAGCTTTCCCCACCTATATTTTTCTCTACTTAACAAGAGGGAAGTTGAGGTACAGAAAAGTGCTGTAATTTGTCCAAAGGCTGACAGAGGTGGAAACAGAATCAGCATCTCCTCATTCTTAGTCCAGTTCCCCAGCCCCAAGGGCGCACTGGTAAGTAGGTGTTCATATGCCCATAATAAGTAACCCCCTAGAGTGAAATCTTCAGTGTAATTTTAAACACTGAATAAAGTGATTGATAAATTATTAAATAGTTAATTAACAGGTTTTTTTCCCGATGTCAGCAGGGTAATAACCTATTGCTTACTTTGATAGTTTGTAAATACAGGTAGTCAATCTAGATGAAAACGTCTGAAAAGGGAATGCAGTGAAGCACTGCTAAAGCAATCTATTTCTTTGGCACTTCCAAATCCCCATAATCTATTTATGCTTCAATAGTAGACCTGGGGAGTAGGACCAGGATAAAAGAAAATAATGAAATAAATCAGCAATATTAACAACCTCTGTAGAGAGTGAAAGATTTGAGGCTGGTCAGTGGTATCTCTTGAAGTCAGCATGGGCTTTATTTCACAGAATCACAGAATATACTGAGTTGGAAGGGACTCAAAAGGACCATCGAGTCTAACCCTTAGACCTTCACAGGACCATCCCCAAGAGTCACACCACGTACCCACGAATATCATCCAAACACTTCTTTGAACTCTGTCAGGCTCCTTACATGCATGCTGCCTTTGTGCCAGTTTGAGTGGTTCTCAAAAAAAAAAAAAAGAAAAGTGGTGTTTTCTTGCTTCATATTGTTATTGAGAGAATCCCTATTTCCCTTTTAAATTAAGTAGTAAAGTAAATGCCTTCTTTTTCAGCTTTTTGTGAAAAAAGTAAATACACAATTTCAGGGACAAAGCTCTTGCATATCTTATACTAATGAACTGATTCCTCAGGTCTCCATAGAGCAAACATTTTTCTCACTTCACTATTTAGCAGTTTGCAAAGTTTGCAACCCACAGTTTGCAATATGAGTTTCCAAGCACTGTAGTCAATGCCTACAAATATATCAGTCTTGTACCAGTAGCTCAGACCCTAAGGTCTTTCAAGTCTCAAGTCTAATTCAATTACTCTCCTGGTAGTCCCCTGGATCTTTTTTTTGAAGCCCTTGTTAAAAACAACAACAACAACAACTAAAAACCCCCCAAAAACCAAACAAAACACAGCCAACAAACCCCCTAAACCAAGAAAAAAACAAAGTCATCATATTTACTGTCTTCCATAGTGCCAAGACAATTTCAAGAGTAAGTTATATTCTCCATTCAGCTGTGCAGAAATTATATATATTTCAATTTTCTTAAAGTCCTTGTGTGAGAATCCACTGTATTGATGCTTCGTCAGTTAATTTAAACAACTGGTTCTAAAGCTGTTTGACTGACGGTTTAACTGGAGATGATGGGCAAATTTCTCATAAGGAAAGGAACCCTCCTAAGCTCATTTGCATGAACATCGATGAAAATAATTCATTGGCTTTTCAGCTAGAGACTCATATTTTTTGTGCTATCCTCTGTTAACTCAGTCATACATTAATCTGTGGACTCAATGGTAGCCATCGTACTTCTGGTGCACTTGAAAAAAGTTACCATGAGGATAAATGTTTCTAGAAATTTGTTCCTCTAATCTGTTATTTTTTCAGTCTGTCTGACAGCTTTTCATCTCCTGTGTCTGTGCTTTTAAGTTTTTGGACAGTGTTTTCATTATTTTTAAATAGCCTCCTTTATTTCTCTGTTTTACTATTAGAGAATTTTCATGTCCCTTCACATTGTCTTTGAGTCTTCACTATACTGTCTCTATAGTCTTTATGCCACCTGGAAGTATTTTAGCCTTTGAAACTGACCCTTAAAATTTAATTTTTGCATGCTTTTCCATTAATGAGTAATTTTTATGTATTCAATATTACTTGCAAAGTTAGGGTTTTTTTGGAGTATGTCATATATACCATTTATAATCTCTGTAACAAAGAGCTTCCTCCATAATGTCTTTGGTGTTAAGTCTTGGTGCCTTTTTCAGGAATACATCAACAGCTGTTTCCCATTTTGAGAAAAGAGTCAGAGAAAAATGTCTTCAAAACAGCAGCTGTGCATGTTTTAAAAAAAAACTGGTCCCTATCTCATAGCTTCCTCATGAATTTTTACATCCTTCTTGAAAGTACTTACACTGTGTCTGTGTTTGGAGGAAAACACTGAATATCACATGAATCACAGTGAAATCACAGAGGTTGCCAACACTGTAGAACAGAAGAGCTGAGAAGCTCTATGATAACACGATTGGTGGGACTGCAGGTGCTGCTAAAGCTGTTGCTGTTATGTAGAAAACTTTGCAGTCTTCAAACATTGGATTTTGTTGCTTGAAACCACTTACAAAGCTTTGATAAAATATAATAACATATGATAACATATAATAACAAAGTAATAACAAGAGGAATCCTGAATATACTTTCATCTCATGATTTTTTCTCTTTTACTGATGAAGGTTACTGATAACATTGTAATATAGCAGAGGGGAGCAGCTACTTACTGCTGTTGTGTGCCCAGTCAAAATCCTTCATCAGTCTTACCTATGTGGAGGTTTTGCCAAGTTACAGTCTGAGCAGAGGGGCTAAAGCCAGAGAAAACACTCTGCTCTGCTGGCTCTTTATGACAGGCTTTAATGGGAGTGGGATTTGACCAAGACCTAACTGCACATGTTTAGGAGGAAGCAATCATCAGTGTTTAGAAGAAATGGCAGCTATAAAGCTCAAGCAGTTAATAGACATCGAATGGTGCAGGAATCTGTTTTGTACCCAGGTGTACATGGCTATCCATAGGGCAGGGAACAGCTGTCATTCCACACAGTTACCTGCACATAACAGCTATATCAATGTTTTTAACGTCTGGCAGATTAAGAAGACAGCAGGACCAAGGTGGACAGACTTCCAGCATTGACAGCAGAGCATCCCTTCAGAGCCACGAGAAACTCCAAGATGGACGAAACAACAATTTGCTGGGACACGGCTGTACAAGAGGCTGCAGCAGCTAGTGAGCTACAGCCCTGTGGAGCACACACACTTCCACACGGGCAGGGTGAGGAAAGGTCCTCTCTGTGCATTCCTTCTTCACTGCATGGATCCTGGAGTGTCTGACCCCTCCACAAACAGGATCCCCAGCCAAGGACAAACTCACAGAGCACAGCGGCTGAGATTTTCCACATACAACTCTGCTCTTCTTTTGACTCTGCCACTGGAAAAAATGACCATCAGCAACAAAATACAGTTTTTTTAAGTAAGCGTGACTTTCGTTTTCAAAATCCTGGAAGAAAACTTGAAACAATTCATTGGGCAGCCTCTCAAAGATTGCCACATTCCTGGCTACTTGCAAGACACAACCTTGTACTGGGGCCAGATGTATCTTGAAGGCTTTACATTACCCCCTCTCTCTCTCCATTAATTAAAATGGTCCAGCTTGGAATTTTGTGAAACTGCTGGAAACAGCTGTTTCTGAGCACCTGCTGTTGAGTTTATAACAGATGTACATGATGTAAATACATGAATGTAGTGTCAAATAGGCCAAATATAGGCTTATTTCATTCAAATTCCTGAAACTCATTGAAAAAGTTGCAGCCTGAGTGTATTCACACTGTTCTTTAACATCATGTGTTCTGCTTTGTAGTAAAAGATGTCAAAAACTGACCAAGTTTAAGTTTTGATAGTGACTTTAGTGGATGCAGGATCAGACACATTCGTTATGTATGGTAACATGGCATAGGAAGACCTTTCTTTTTGTAACAATAGGCTCAATGAGCCAGAGTTGAAAAACAGCATAGTAAGGAAAGCTAAAAACGGGAATTTGCTCAGATCCATAGTTAGGTGTTATAAAATGTGAAAAACTTACGTCTGTCTCTGTTTTTAGGTCTATTCTTGATGAGAACTATCTTGAATAGAAAGAAACATACTTTAGTAAAAATGTTGCTGACATGAAATCTCTTCTTTTTTTTTTTTTTTTTAAATCAGCACCCACAATTCCAAACATTTGTGGTATTTTACAAATTGTACATCCACATTTTGATAATAAATGCATGCTAATTCTGTCCTATTGTGCTTTTATTTTGAAGAGTTACCATCTGTAAGCAAATTTCATTTCAACCTTTTAAAAAAATAAGTTAGGCTTTTGGAAGTGAAAAACATTTTATTTGTAATAATCTATTTTTACCGTATTGTTTCCATTCTATATTTTACAGAACAAAGTGCTTTGTAATTGAATCTATTTTAAAATTTTGTTCCGCATTATATGTAATTCTGGTCACAATTTTTTCACAAATACAGATTTTTATCACTCCATGAAATGATATAGTGTTCCTATTAACAACAAGCAGTTTACAAAGGTACTAAGATAAAGATTTTGCATCTGTCACAAGCATGGTGTTGGTCTACTTGTTTAATTTGAGCACAGACTGAATTAATCATAAGACCAAGCAAAGGAGCAGAATTTCTCTGGCCATAAGAGGAACAGATTTCATTGCCTAGAATAAACTGTTTCATGTCCATCCTTTCTTATAATGATTTTTTTTTCCCTTGACATTAGTTTCCTTTGGGAAGGACCGAAGTGGATAATATTTCACATAATTTCTGAAGACACCTATTGTCCTGTTCCAATCAAAATGCACTATGATCTTGGACCTTGAACTGGATCTTGATCCTGGAAAGAAAATGTTTATGTACTTGAGTAATCCTGTAGAAATTATTGTGACTACTCATAAGTAAATGTTTGCAGGATCCATGATGTATCAGGTAATACAGACTAAAGCCATGGAATGTTTGTAAGCAGAACCACTAATCTATTAACATTTTCCATGTAAAGTTTTCCAGTTACAAAAACAAGGGGGAAAAAAAAGCAATTGCATACTTGCTTTACTTTCTATGATTACAGTTACTTTGAGCAAGAAGAGTTTTTGTGGGTGATTTCGTACAACACCAACCACATAGGATGTCACTATGCTAGAACCTTAATTTAGGCTGGGCAGGCATTTTTGAATTTACTGTCTCAACATGAAAGCATTACTGCATTTTGGTATGTATTGGAGCACCCGAATCAGATGCTTTTTGGATGATACAAAACTAAAAGTTGTGTTCCAAGGGAGCACTAGTGCCATCTGCCCAGCCTTGGGCTTATCGACCACAGGAACAGGTGAGAAAAGATTTGAAATAGAACTTCCTGAAACCTGGCTCATATGGATGTCAGGTCGACATTGCCGGCCGCTCTGCTCTGCAGAGCCACTTCTGTCCTGCTGCACGGCCAGCAAACGAACACACAGATCCCAGGAAGCCTGGGTTTATGGAGTGAAAAGTCTATAGAATGAAAGATCCACAGCCCTTAGAGTGTAAGAAGTTCACTGGTGACTGCATTAAAAATTGGAGGAGTTTCCTGCAGATAGAATTTAATTAGCAGCAGGATTCTACCAAATATTTGCAGTCTGATCTGACTGTTGCTGGCTGTCTTTGCCAATGTTTTACTAAGCTGTTTTTGAGAGCAATCTGGTTATTCAATAGATTGCATCTACTTAAATATATTTGCACAGAGTATTGTGCACAAATGCAAGCTCACTCAGACACTAATTTCATGCTTGTTGTCACACGATCATTTCTCAAACAACTCTACTGATTGTAAAAAAAGTGAAATCATGGCACCAATCAGCTTTATCCAGAGTACAAGGCACTTCTACTGACTGCCAACTGTACCTTTTGCTGCATATAATTATCTGTGTCAATATATTACACAGATGAGTGAATACCCTCAGCTATGCCATGGACAAGCAATACTGAATCAAAGAATTATGGAATGGTTTGGGTGGAAGGGATCTTTAAAGATAATCCAGTCCAAATCCCTGGCAATGAGCAGGGACATTTTCAATTAGATCAGGTTGCTCAGAGCCCCATCCAATATGGCTTTGAATATTTCCACAGATGGGGCATCCACCACCTCTCTGGGACACCGCGTTTCTTCTTTTGACCAACATAGCTGTAAGGATCTGGCATGTCATGGGAAGCCCTGATAATGGTTCAGAAGAGGGAAAAAAAAGAGGTCATTCTGAATAGTATGTGATTTGTGAGGACAGAACTCACACTACAAGAATAGTCACACAGCCTGGGAATACACCTGAGAAATGCTTGGTTGGGACTTGTCTCCCTTAACTTTAGACATAAGAAAAATGAGTTAGCCAGATCCAGGCTCAAAAATAAACATAAAAAGGGGGGGGAAATTCTTTTAAGTTGTAGTGCACTTGCTCTGTCTTGATTGTCTGTCTTGGCAGATGGTTCTCCCTGTAGCTCTGCCTCCATGGAGTACATCATCATTGTGCACAGCTCAGATGTGGCCATGCACATTGTGCACTGACATTTAGTCAGACGAATCATGTTTGTGATGGCGCAGGCAACTCGTGGACATGCTGTCAAACCCTTATGAAAAAATGGGAACATTTCTGATTGTTTCAACAGGAGTAAGAGAGATTTAAAATTTTTCATCCCTACATGCAAAAGTGGTATTAGATAAACGAGAAATTACGCAAATGTACTCTTGCAGAAATGAAAACAGGGAAGGAACCCTAAATAAGACATAGAAGGTTTTTACAAAATACTCAGTGATATGGAGGAGAAAAACAAAGAGGGGCAGTCATAAAAACAAAAGAAACTCCTTGGGACTCATTTATTCCATACAGCTTTATTGTCTTGCAAAAGCAGCTAGTGATCTTAACTCCCAAAGTCTCATCTGGTTTCTCCAAGTCATTTCAAGGATAAAAATATTTTCCTCATTTCTGTTCCAAGGAGGAGGGAAAGAACTCTAACACAGCTGGAAAAGCAGTTTCCTTCTACCACAGTTTATTGCAGTGCCTCTTCCTCTGTGGTGCTGCAGTCCTGATCACACATGCGTGTTCCCACAGCATCACTCGGCATTAAACTCTGCCAGATTTACCTTCTGTTCAGTTTGCTCCTTCTACATTGTGTATTAAATATTGGCACAGTACTGTAAATGTTTAATTACCAACTGTCAGAAAGTACACATGGCTACTTTCATCTGTAGTCTTGAAAAAAATTAATGTAATATTTCCAGAAGATTTCCTGTAGATTTGGGGGTATTGGAGGTTTGGTTATAGATCTTGGCACACTATTCAGAATTACAGCAAAGTATGTGATAGAGGCACCAACCCATCCAGTCCATTCATTTAGATGTTTTCTGCTTGCAGAAACATATGATCACTACTTCAAATTTATTTCTGACAGTTTAAACTAAACCTATATATTGGTGTAATGGGATGTACTGAGAAGCTGCAGTTGCCTGAATCAGACACAAAGCATTTTTCTGTTTTCCAGGTGGCTAGGTATGCTAACACTTCTGCTATGGAAAAAGTGGCTGCCAACACAGAGAAAGCTTAGAGGTTTTGGACAGGTTTACAGTTTTGGTGGGAGATGGAAAGCAAGGAGATATTCAAAAAGTATTAATTAAAAAACCCACAGATATCATCTGGAAGCCTCACTGCTCTAGTTCCTGCCCCAAAAAGAGACCTGGAACAAAGCAAAAATCCTGCAAATAATCTCCATTATTTTTATATTTGACCCAGATCTCATTCGTGGCAGAGTAAGTTCCTCTATGCAGACTCTAGTTAAGAAGCAAGGGAAGGCGAGGCCCCACCTCTCACCCGTGTTGGGCTGCTCAGGCTCTGCCTTTTAGTGCAGCAAAAGGGACAACAACTTATAGCACCTACTGCAGCCAAAGTCATCAGTATTACTAGGAAAAGCAGGAATTATTTTTTCCTACATATCAGTTACAGTTCAGTCCCTTAGCACATGTGGTAAATTTTGAATGAGGGATAATGTAAAGCTTTTAGAGATCCTTCTGCTGCCACACAAAAACTTCCAAGATAGATAGGTGTGATTTTTAAACAGGAGCTTTGTGGTTCTTCTTCTGGAGAGTGTGTTAGTAGCTAAACTACTAATTCCTTATGCATATTGTGCTTAATCATCTTAGCTTCCATCAGAGTAGTTACATCTGTTTATCTGTATTTTAATGATTGGATGAGCTATGCTCTGGCCAGCAGGGGAAAACGATTTGGTATTTTTAGCATTCATTTAGCAATGCAAATGAGGTTGCCATAATCGTGTTTGTGACAAAACACACCGTTCAATCGGGACCTCAATAATGACTGATATTAGCTATGCTCTGTACATCAGTGATATTGGCTCAGAGTCACAAAATCCCTCTTTTTGTCCTTTTAATTGGAAAGGAGGAATGCATCTAATCAATTAAACCATTTTTTTACAAAACTGCCCAGCTGTCCTCATGAGTCCTCCCAGAGACTCAAAATTGTAACACAGGGCAGAAAGCTTTGCTGTTCAGTATTTTGGGGGTTACTTTAAGTCCATTATAAACAACAAAGTAAGCATATAAAAACTTCTGTAGCTTTTAATATTCATTAAGAGACAGACAACTGAGAACAATCCTAAAATGCAAGTCCTTTTAAAATGTATGTCCATGAATACAGAGTTATGTAAAATCAGTCCCTTTAAATGGAATTAAATTTTCCATAGACACTTTCATGGGTCCAACTACATTGGAACTAGTGCTCTAGACAATTTTTTGCACCTTACCTTCCACTGTTTTGATGTGTGCTATACTGTAGCCCTAAAGCTTTTCCCACAGTGACCATTTTGTACTTGAAAAGTCCCTCTTGGAAGAGTACTATACAATTTAATTAGTACTTTTCTATGCAATTTTGTCGTGAGTATAATATTCTTCAGTCTATGTGCAAAGGCATTGAGGCAATTTTGTTGTGGTTAATTAGTTATGAGAGAATGCTCCAAGAATTGAGTCATAATAAATACTATACCCACACATTAAGGTAAGTCAGGCAATACTGCAAAGAATTTACAGTTTGAACTAGCTTTGTAAGATACACTTTGAAGCCAGGGATAAACTGGAAAAAGTTTTCAGGGCAGCAGGCAACAGTGAAATTGGCTTAACAAATGTAATGAGCACCCATATAATGTAGATTTATGGATTTTTTTTTTCCTGCATTCAATTATATGCAACATCTCCTTTCAGGCCATAAATTTCCCACGCATATTTGAAAGCTCAAGCTATATAATTTTGGAGAGTACAGAAATGGCCGCAGCAGCGGCAGAGACTTCTGCAATGACACCAGGAGCTGTAATTAGTGCCTCGTCCTCAGTCCCACTCAGGCCAGTGAGAACACACCGAGCAGAAGATCACTGCATTTTCTGAATCAACCCAAAGGCACACGTGGAAAGCTGAAATGAAGATGTCAAGAGGATGAGAGCTGTCATCAGAGCTGATTTGCTACTTCTGCACCCCCTTGGTGAGAACCTGCATGGTTCTCTATAAATCCTGACTTCCCCTTAGTCTGGCAGGGCACTCACTCCACCGGGCTGTGGAGCACAGACATCCTCATGTGAACACTGCAGCACAAAAATCCATCCCTGCTGAACATCATTTTGACTGACACAGAACAGTTACTGCCCTCCCAACGTCCTA